CCTAAAAACTATCTTTCTCAAATCCTGTTTTATCTGTAGCTACCAATGAAAACCTACGAATCTTAATCTTATCTTGGTCGGAAATTTCGCACAGCGTCCCATAATCACAATTTCCGGATGGAAACTTGATTGTTGCAAATCCATGTGATTTTGGACCAATAGGATTGTAGACTGATGTAAAGACACACAATTTAAAGTTACGCCGACCAGAATAATCTGACCAGCTGAACTCAAATAATTGGCGTGGCTGGTCACTGTCATGCCATTGGCCAGATGACCACCACGTCACAACTGTAGCACCATGCTCACATCCCTAATTTGACCCAAACAGAGCTGGATTCATGAGCCCACAGAATCTACGATCTTCTACTGGTTCATCACAAGCAATGATCTGGTAGCTATTAATGCGTAAAAATGCGCTGAATCACCTACGTTCTCGCAGCTGGCCACAAGATTGAGGCATGCGGTGCGCCATCCTAAACTCGACCAGCTCCATGCCAGTTGTGCCCCCTGGTATGCATCTGGTCATCGGGAACCGCTAATCTTGCTGTTGAAGGAGCATTCCAAGCCGAGGGATTACTGCCGAGGGGATTGTCTGTAGTTAAGTTTCCGGGAAGTGTGTGAGGCAGGTGCATCCGTAGAATGGATACTTTGTCCTTGTCGGATGGAAACCCCCATATTACGATGAGTCCGAAATGGCACGAAAAATCACCCATAGCAAGTAGACCGGTAGTTGGGTCGCTTATAAAAACTACGCAACTGTGAATATTTTACGATTCGGAGAATTCATTTATGGCTAATGCGGGAGAAGCAGATAATTCAATGAGTTGTCATCATCGCCTCGTAGAACCTGCTGTATTCCTGAAATATCACCCTGTCCGGGTCAATGATCCAAGTGTTTTGTTTTAGCTGTTTTGCCAGTAGCGAAACCAGCGAGACTGCTTTGTTACGATTGTTCCTGTTGATATCATCGACGTATGAAGTCCAGGTGGTGAACAGTGGGCTATTGAAAAGCTTGGTCCCTGATTCGTCAAGTTTGAGCAACTTGAAGACGTCATCGCCCGATTTTCCAGCATCCATCCAAACTCGCCTCTGCTGAGCTTGTAATAGGATGGCAAGGCCCTCAGTGTTCGGAACCTTCTTGGCAGTCGCGACCATTTTGGCCAGTGAGTCAGGAGTGTACTGCGTTGCCAACTTAGACAAGATGATTTCCTAGGGATTCTGCTTTTCGATCTTGGCTACGTAGGCCACCCAAGTCGTAAACTTTGGGTTGTCAAATATCTTGTTTCCTGCCATATTCAGTTCCAGTGTCGTGAAAATATCGTCGGTGATCTCCCGCTAAGCAGCCAGTTCTGAATACTTGTACTCTGAACGATCTTGTACATCCCTGACTCGAAGAGATCCACGAGTTTTTTCGCGCCAGGGAGATTGAACCCCCTCTCTTTGCTATTAATGCTATCCCTTACGTTGTGTACTTTCAACGAACTTCGACAGGATTGGATGTTCTGAAGCGAGATTGCAGATGTCGGTCGTACTCCGTTACCTTGTACCAGTACTTCACAGCACGAGGACTTAAACCCTGGTATTAGTTCGACTTGGCTCAGATCCCCTCTTGAGATTGTGATGCCTCAATATATTGCAGTAACGAAATGACAATCTAAATCTAAGTTACTTGTACTCGCGGAAACAAATCCTATAACATCTCTGAGGTCAACGTTCCATCATCTTAAATTCTCTGGACTGAAGCGGTGCTGAGTCTGCATCAGCGTGTGCATTCCACAATATGGACCTGTATTAATAATTATTTTTAAGTCGGCAAGAAGGGGGAGAGGTGGGATAGCAGCCAGAATAATGACACAAAACGACAAGTCTGACTTATGCGCAGATTAGAACGGATGTTACAAGCGGGAATGCCTCTGGTGGTTCGGCTACGAGCTCTCTGAGAGGAAGCAGTTTGTTGAGGACTGTATAGCACTGATTCGTCGTATCGCGGCGCTGCCTTCTTTAAAATAAATGCCGGTACTGAAAACATGGTAGCCGTGCGAATAGGAACGAAACCAAACTAGGCAATCAGAATAGGTAACTTTCAGATTGGCGTGTTATAAAAAGAAATCATTATATCAAAACTTGATCTAGATATTAAATTGAAAGGTGCTACCACCTGCTGAAGCAGTTGTTTCCAGCACATTTCAACTCATGTTCTTTTTCATTTCTGCTTTAGCGAACTGGAAATATCCCATTACCCGGCAACTCAAACATCTAAACCTACAGTTAGCGAAGCCTTTTAGACTACTTCAGCCGCCATGTAGTTCGTCCAAGTGAAAGTGCCACAGTCATTGTTGTTGGAACGAATCGATGACGGAACAAATCGAGGACCAGCACAAACATTGCGAGCGCTGCCAACATGATCACCACTGCAGACGTGTTGTCTATATAAGGGCAATGCGCTTTAGAGTAAGACCAAGCAAAAACGTTTAGCATGTACTGAATCGCAGTTCCGTAATAAAAGTGCTTTGGCGAAATTCTTCGCACCCGTTTGGTTGCTGCTGTTGCGACAGCCAAGGTGAACACGATTAGATAAAATCACTTGGCTCATATAATTGTGTACACCCGAGCAAAGTAATAGTTGTTCGCTCTACTAATTACTTTGAACTGCATGGACCTCGTACCACATGCACTCCGTAACCACGGGGCTGTATAAAACTTCGAAGCTCTGTGTGTCGTCTCTTTTGTATGGATATATTGCTGGATTCGACTTGTGCGTTTTACTTGAAATTTCAATCTTTGAATGAACCACGCAGTAATCGCCGAGTCGGGAAAATATACTGGTTGAGTATCGGTCCACTTAAGTACAATGTAGAATTGAGCCGCTGCAGGACAGGGCGGTTTCGAAATAACAAGTAATTTGTATGTGGGTGATCCTTTGAACAGAACCAAAGTGGCAAATTTATCTGGAATTCACAATAGTCATGTTGTAGTCACGCCGTTCGAGATCCTCGCTGTCATAAGCTTGTTACACTGCTAATCTTTCGTTATACGTGCACATGCAGGCTTTTGCACCGTTGACTACAAAGATTAATATTCTAGGGTATTCAGTTGATGCAAGCACAATATTTAATACAACTACACGTATTTGGATATAAGTGCCCACAGAGAGCTTCACTGGATACCACAGCGCCAATTCAATTCGAGAGCATTCGCAGGGATATGCTCGTTGATCATTCGGAAACGCTGCTCTGATGACGGGCATCGGATGCTCATCAAGTTGATGACGCGGCATCGGATGCTCATCAAGTTGATGACGCGGCATCGGGTGCTCATCAATCAAAAACCTTTCCCAAGTCATGCGGACCGTAGCTGATGAATCTGCAGCATCAGATGCTCATCAAAACAACCTTTCCCAGGTAATGCGGACTAGAGGTGAATCACCTCAGGTGATGAACCCGCGGCAATCACTGAACTGTAGAATCTACATGAACGTAACTACCGGTTTTGCCATATGTTATACCGTTGCAATGACTATAACATATTATTATGGTATATCTGTACAGTAAAATGTTTACGGGTAAAGTGGGTGTAAACTTAGGGTGAAAGGAAGACCACCATTTACAAACACCATACGACGTCATCCCTAACCAATTGTAGAAGTTTCACTTCTTTAATTCCCCTCAAGACGCAAGACGAAACGCACAAGAACGCAATGCGTCTGCCGTTGGTACTGCTACTTGCGGTGTGTATTGCCATCACTTCGTGTGCTGCTCTATCTGCTTTTGCTACCGAACAAGAAACTTCTGTCGCGCAAACCGCTAAACGTTGGGGCTCACCTCACTCCATCGCTGCTGCTGGAGATCGTGATATGTCTGGCAAACAGCTCTTAAGGGCTGACAATCTTCTGCTTGTTGACAACGATGTCGATGCTGAAGAGAGGGGCCTCCCAGCCATTACGAAGTTAACCGACATGGTTAAGAAAGGGAAATTCGCAGTGGGCACCAAACTAAGTGACAAGATGTTGTGGGTCAAGTACCAGAAGCTGCTCAAACAAAAGCTTTCGGACTTGGACATCACCGGAATGTGGCTAAAAAGTGGGAAAAGTCCAGACAAGATTTTTGACCGCTGGATTCGCCTCGACAAGTCACCGAGGCAAGCAGCCAAAAATTTGCTAAACCATGGAACAACAGCGAATGATCTCTACAAGGTCCTGAAAAAGCGTAACATGGACCTGGAAACAATCAGACCGATTTGGCGCGACCTCGGACTGACAGAGAATCAACTTCGTGTTGCGCGTCAGGCGGCTAGCGCCTTGTGAGTCGAACACTCTTGGTTTAGCGCTGGCAAGTGTAACAAACGTGCTGGACGGCGAGGAATATTTCGACAATTTACGCTTGAGATTTCTTTACAATACACTTGCTTTTACGATACGAACTTAGATACATGGCCTCAGGCTCATCGATATATTGCGTTGCAGATTACTAGCTATTACTAGTAATTCAGCAGAAGTAAAGACAATAACTCTGTGGCTGCTATGTTCTGTGGGCTCCGATTACCCAGTTCACGCTTGCCATCTCATCCAGTGTCTATTCAGCATCCATTTCTTGGTGACTCATGCTGGTAAAACAAGTCATCCAGTTAATTTTTCTAGATTCCTATCACACTGTGGCCCCATCCTTGATTTCGATGTGGTGACGAACTATTTTTGGTCGCACATAGTCACGACCCGCCCCGAACTTCACCATTATACACCTCAGGCCTACGAAGCTTGGTCGAGACCATGCAATTGCTGGCTTCCTCGATTTTGGACAGGTCTATCAGCGCTTGACTACATTTCACTTTGTCTGTCGGCGAGCCGCTCACTGCTGACCAGCGACCGGTTAGATTCGTTTCAGTACTTTGGACAGATTGAAAACTTAATCTCCTTCACAGCCCCATGACCGTTGCTAAAACCTGGAACTCATTTTATATAACTGTTTTTACCACGAACTACCCACGTTAGGTCAAAATAGGACCCAAAAAATGATGTTTTGATGAGGGATTTACCTGTATTCTTTGAATGTGTGTGTGTGTGTGGGGGGGGGGATTAACGGGTTGCGGACTAATATTTAGCGTCGTAAAGCGACTTTCTTATTGAGCTCCTAAAAATGAGGAAATCCGGGCCCATTTCGGTATGTGTATTTATTACATGGCTGACACACAAATACGTTTATAAGCCAACGTGAAGGTATCGGACAGGTCAACGCACCGTGCTGAAATCAAAACTGACAGAACCATTCACTTCACAAACAGTTCCTGGAATGGCAAAGGGTTGAAATAGCACCACTTAGGCTTAGTAAATCCATGTGACTCGCTGATATCACAGGCACATCGAGTATTAGAAATAAAGAAGGAGAGTTTTTGTTAGGCAGAATCGCACCTCTGCTAAAACTCTGGATATAAAATCCAGAGAACAGAGGAGATGCTTAAGCGACATCGCTGGGTATCCCCTTCGAATGAGGGATATGTCGGATCGGTGCGAGACTTGTCCTATGCCCGGTTCCCATCGAGAAATATGAATCGACCGACGTCACCTTAGCTATTGTAGTTATCAACTTTCACGCAGAAGGACCGATGCATACGAAGACGATCTTCTTGATTATTGTCGAAGGTCGCGTTGTGGCAAGGGCCGTCTTCGCCAATTCATTCTGTACATTAATTCAAATCAATAAGACATCATGAGTGCTTGATAGATGTGATTCCACCGAGCGACTATTCTTGCTTATTTTGTAAAGTCCATTATTAATACTGTCTACCTTGACAAGGTGATTATAGACAACAACAGAAAAGCACAGTCGCATATGGTCAAAATCAAAGGTATTACCGTCAGGGCTGTAGTAGAGATAGTAATACGTATCGACATGAAATCACGTGCTTAAGCTGGTTTTATCGGATATCAGCTTCTAAAAGGGTCACAAAAGAGACTTTGGAACGTCTGGTATATCGTCAGATGCTTCCATTAAGTTCCATATTTGACATGTTTCGTTCGAATCTCACTAGGAATGACCATATCATCTAACAACTGCCTTAACATAATCAACTTGCTATGCTTGATCACAATCTATTCCATAGGTTGTATTAGCTAAGGGAAGTTCATCTGTATTGCGGCCAAAACAATATTATGTACCATCTATAAAATTGATATGATCTGGTGGTCCCCAAGCCATGAAAAAATGGCATCTTCATCTTGGGAAATGGATAAATGAACAACATCATACAGTTGATCCAAGATGACCCAGGTCTACTCGAGTAAACAGCTGAAAAGAGCAATTTAGCAGTTTTGGGACATGGGTTCTACATAATCTCTCAGGTAGTGGGTGAATTTAGCAATCATTTGTATGAGTTCAACTAGTATCAGGTAGCTTTGTCCCTATTTAAAAGTTTGCTCCAGCAATCATTTGTGTGAGTTCAGAATAGTCTCATGTGGTTGATCGGCCGGATTGTTTTTCCTCGTGTGGTGTGGCAACACAAACACGTAATGCAATACTACATCACGTTTCGGCTATAATCTTCTTTGACTGCTCTACTTTGGTTTTCTGATACGAACCCAACCCTGTTTGTTAACTGAATACCCCCTTGCGAGATGAATAACGACGATGAACTATTCCACTCTGTACAGTTGCACAAATAATGCATCGTCAGGTTCAGCGGAACCTTATTGTAAAACCGATGAAATGGATCAGAAATGAGCATACTTACTTAAGAAATCGTGCTTCCCCGTCAAAACGCAACGGCTTCACGAACACTACATCCCACGAGCACGCCCTCACTTATTTTTGTTCCTCGGATTTTTGCGCAGCAGCCTTTCGCGTCTGCGCGTCCGCTGTTGGGTCGTAATCTAAGAATATAACTGTAGTGGGAGATGATCTAGATGTAGAGCCAAATCTCGCTCACAGGAGTGTACTGGAGATCGGACTCCAGGTACACTAGCTCGCGGTTAGGAATTCAACAAGATAGTTCAGGGTTGAATTAGAAACGGGTTCTGGTTGAAGGCAACCAGAACAGGAGTTAGCTTAGCGGAAAGGAAGTGCTCCAGCCAAGGTGCTGTTCACTTTTCCATTTGCTCAACGGAGCTCATTGGAATACAATCGGCGTACTAGTTTTAGGAAGTGCCAGCTTCCCCATTTGAAGTGTGTTTAGTATCGAAACCCACTACAAAGTCGACTTTAGCTGTCGGGAATCGACAACTAACCATGACAAGGAACTCGGAGCCAAGGACGAGAACAGTAGCAGCTGTAACAGCTCCTATTGAAGGTCAAGGCTCCAACAAGAGAAAATGACGATACCAATATTCACGACCGTCGATGCGCCTCGTCTCTTAGGCACGTCACATGCGGAACTAGTGAAATGGCTGAAAGACCGCCGGAACTAAGAAGAGACCGTTTGTGAACGCTGTGCTGCTCACGGCGAGGATGTATCCAAGGTGATGAGAAGCGTCAAGAGCTGGACGTCTGGTGTGACCTCAAGCTGAAGATGGACAAGGACACTGTCACAGACGAGATGGTCATGGAGGAGATCCAGGCAGTCGTAGCGACGGTGAAGAACGGCCTAATACCCAACATACCTGCTTTCTTTAATAAGGAGTTGAAGCTGGATTTGAATCAGACGGACATGAGCGAGCGAATCCTTCAGTAGTTCAGGCTTTTTCGGCAACTAGTCGAGGAGGAAGGTCTAGAAGGCTGTTTTACGGGGAATGAAGGGACGAAAGAAAAGTGCAAGCTTCTCGTCTCTTCCATCGAGCCACCCGCCCTCCGAGACAACACCAAGTCGGTCATTAAGTACCAGAACAGAGCTGCTGGTGAAAATGAAAGGGATCTTTTCGATTTGGTGGTGAAGATGGCACTCGGGCAGGACAAGGAGTACCGTAGCCGCAAGAAGGCGAACGCTTCTGCTCGCCAATCCGAACAAGACCACCGCAGCAAGTCCAATGCTAAACAGAAGCGTAGTGGCCAAGACGAAGAACAAGCGTCTAGACCTGGTAAATTTCAGCGTTCCAGTGGATCTTTCGCTAGAGATGCCAAGCCTGGCGAGAGCAAGGGCCGACGCGATGGCTGCTTAAAGTGTGGTGGTGCTCATTATGTCTCGAAGTGCCCAGACGCTGGTGAAGAAGAAAAAGAGAGCTACTCCGCTCACTTCGGAGTGAAAGGAAGAAGGAGTTTGGAAGAGATGTGAAAAGGTCCAAACGCATTAAGGACTGCCTGGTAGAAGGAGACAGAAGTGATCTCATCAACGGGAAATCGCGGATGCCGTATTGCGCTGACTCTGGCTCAGACAACAGTATTATCGGAAGATCCAAGGCGGAGGAACTTGCCAAATTGGACAACCGGGTGGTGCTGCAACCACTAGAGCAGCCAGTACTGAGCAAGGCCGTTGGTGACCGGATCATTACTGCGAGAAACGTGATTGAGGTGCGGATCCTCATTCACACTGCGGTCGGGCCAGTGACACCGACTCAGCGATTCAAATGTCTAGTGATTGAGGCTGAAGAAGAGGAATTTATCCTCGGTCAAGACATCTTACGTACCCTCGGTATCGATGTCAACCAGCAGCTAGAGCAACTCGCACGATCAACATAGGAAAACGACGACCCTATCGAAATGGATGATGATGCGAGAACTCGGACGTTTACGAGTGCAGAAGTAAAGGAGGCAGTTGAGGGGTTGATTCAACGGGCCCTTGATAATGGTTTTCCACACGAGTTGGAGGAAAGACTACGCGTCATTGGGTTCATGTACGACGTGTGGAGAATCAATTTGGGGCCGGATCCTCCTGCAAGTGTGCCTCCTCTACGGATTAAGTTGACGGAACGAGCCAAACCGTACCGGTGTAAACCACGGAAGTACCCGCCACAGCTGAGGAGGTTTCTACAAGAGTTCAACGAGGAACTCGTGGAGCTGGGGTGGGTATTTGAGAACCCTAACAGCAGGTGGGCGTGCCCTGCGGTGCCTGTCCGGAAGCCTGGATCGTCCGAGTATTGACAAACGAATGACTACCGTCCTGTGAACGCATTGACAGAGCCATTGGTGGGTCTAATGCCAATTCTCCAACTCATAACGGAACATGTGATGGGCATGAAGCATTTTGGACTGTTTGATTTCATTCGCGGATTCTGGCAATTGCCACTGGAAGAGGGCTGCCGTGAAGTGTTGTCGTATATGACGGACCAGAAGATCTACACTCCCACACGAGTGCCTCAAGGATGCAGTGATGCAGCACTATACTTTTAGAGAACAATGGAAGACTGCATTCGGAAATTACTGTGCAAACATCTTTTAGTGT